CTGTGAATGACCAAGATTGGAATTGTCATTAAACAAAATCATGTAAAACAAAAATGTAAACCGCCGGAAGATGGATTTGCAAACTGCCATTATATTTCTCAGGCATTGTCCTAGGTGATCATTTATCCTATAATATTCAAATCCATATTATTATATTATATAGTAATCGTGGAGGAACATCTGCTAAAGTCTGCAAGAGGCCTGGGACTTGAGGGATGATTCATCTTCCAGAAAGACTATGACCCAAAACATACAGTAAAAGCCACACTGGCTTATAAACAAAAAATATAAATGTTCTGGATTGGTTCAGATAAAGCCCGGACCTCAATCCAATTGAGAATCTGTTTACATGAGTTGTTCCTGGTGAAAGTGCTGTACACCAGTGGTCCACAACCTGAGGGAGCTTGAACAATTTAGCAAAAATTACCACATCTAGATAAGCAGAGCTGGTAGAAATTTATCCAAGAAGGCTGCTGGCTGTAATTTCTGCCAAAGGTGCCTCAACCAAATATTGACTCAAGAGTGGTGAATACTTATGCTCTTTGAGTAACCGAGTAACCGAGTTCACCTCCGGTTCCGGTCGAGAGGGAACACTGGTGCGTTTGGCTGCTGCTCCTCTCACCAGTTTTTCATTTTTTATCTACTTATTTATGTTTTTTTTTCCTCCTTTTTCTTCTCGGCAACACGGATTTCTAATTCATCTATTTTTATCCTCTTCACATTATCTGCTTCACGTTACAAATTCACAAATGCGACTTCCACTTGCAGTGTGAATTTGCTCAACTGAAGACCTTCACCACTTGCTACTCCCTTACTCTGGATTTCCTTGTTACACCGTCTTGAATCATCTTTCATGTCTCTGAGGAACACTGCACTGCAACGTCTTCAACGAAAACAAAGCTACTTCTTGGTGAAAGACACATTCGATTAATGCCGTTTTACTGGGATTTTACGACCGAGTCGCTACATCCATCGGAACACAGGACGCCGTTTCTTTAGTCTCAATCCCTGCCTTTTGGCACACGACTGTAAGTCCATCCCGTACCGGCGCCGACCTAAAAAATTTCCTCTTACTA